CCGGGTTTGCTACCAGGATTACAGTCCTTCTGACAATCTGGGTAATGCAGAAGGCTGCAGTGTTTGGGGAGTCTTCACATTCTCCGAAAAGTTCTAGTTGGGTTTGATTAGGCCGCGCTTCCTGGGAGAAGTCCGATTCGTTGTCTGGGCTGTGCGTAGAGGGGGCAAGGGCCCTGAGCTGATGATGAGCCTAACCAGCCTGACTGTGTCAGGGTCACCCACAACCTCTTAGCTGCATTTTATATTTTAAACTGTTAATAATAAAAAAATTATATATCTCTCTAATAAAAACATGTTATTCTGGATCAGTTTAAAATTAGAACATTACATATTGATGTTATTTCACTATAATAATAAGTCGTTATGCTGGATAAGTGTAAAATGAGAACACCAAATAATTATATTTCATGACTTATAATAAAAAGACGTCATTCTCGATCAGTGTTAAATGAAAACACTATATACGTATATCATATCACTGTAATAAAAACACGTTATTCTTGATCTGTTTGAAATGAGAACATTATATGATTAGGTCATGTCACAATAATAAATATGCGTTATTTTGGATCAGTGTAAAGTTAGAACATTATATGATTATATCATATAACAAGAATACAAAGACGTTAATCAGGATCAGTGTTAAACGGGAATATTATCCAACTTTGTCTGAACACTTTTATCAATGGACGTCATAATGAGTCAGTGTTAAATAAGAACAATAGATACAATCACTATGATAAAGGTACTTCTGTCTGTTTGGTTGGTGGTTTGTGGGGCTATTATATCACTTCACTAATCTAAAGGGACTGTTATCAGGTCAATGTTTAGAAGGGAAATAACTGTTGTCATTGTTTAAGGGAGGTGTTTGAGAAATGTCAGCTTATGACCTGGGCAGATATCGAGTGAGATCACTTCACTGTTCAGTTTGGCATTATGCTGCATCAGTTTGAAAGGTGTATCAGTATTCAAAAGGACGACATATTTGATAAGCATGCCGAGCGAGACCTCGGGGGTTGTCCTTCTTTTCGCCTGCTGTATGTCTGACAGAGTCGTTTGTTAATGTAACTGTGAATGGCTGGTAGCTTCTTGATTTCAATAAACAGATTGAGGCTCAGTAGGTTTCTTATGGTTGTCAGTTCGCAGAGGTCTGTATGTATGAATGCATATATGGTGTGAATAAGATCGCAAGTGTTTGTTCGGTAATTTATACCGCTGCATTGAGTGAACATTTCACGTTATTGTCAGTACGCAGAGGTTTGTATGTATGAATGCATATGTGGTGTGAATAAGATCGCAAGTGTTTGTTCGGTAATATATACCGCTGCATTGAGTGAACATTTCACGTTATTGCACTTGGGCGTGTCATTGTAGTAGCACTTTTGTTCAGTCCAATAATGTAAATGCATGGTGACATTACCGTACTAAACAGTCAAGTATTGTATAAAGGAACTGCAATATTGCATGCATGACAGTACCAGTGAAATATGTTACGTTAGATCTACTTTTATGACTTATCGTGTGTATTGTGTGTGGCAGTGTTTTAAGTCAGTACTAATGCATTGTATGACAGATGTACGATGAACACCGTTACAATTTTGCACAACTCGGTATTAAGGACCACTGCGGTCATATTCTATGGCAGTATTAGGCTAATCCTGGGCAGTACTATAGTACTACTGACGTGCCTCTGCCTTTTGTTAGAACAGCTTGACTGGAGAGTTGGAGGGCCTGTTTATCGATTCGAAGCTCTTCTCTTTGATCTACCATCAACTTATTTAAGCGCAGTTTGCTTCACCTTTGTGAAATAATGAATCATAATTTGACATTGAAAGCCAACCAGACGAGACATTTCATTAATGTTACAGTTGCGAACTGAAGGAATATTGTCGTGCACATTTGACCTCCAATCATTGCCCATAATTAAGCTTTTCCAATTGCATTGTGCTGCTAATGAACGTCATAAACATGTTCCTTGACGTTTTAATTATTTGTGTCACAGCAGCAAACCGAGTGTTCTTAAAGCGTGCTGGGTTGCCAGGAGCAATATAGGCGTATATCTTGGGACCAGAGTTAGTACTTTGGCATTTCCATACCCCCTGCCTTGCTGAAATATTTTAGGATGGATAGACGAAACGTCTCGACTTCGTACAATTTTATGTTATGTGTACCTGGACAGGCACTGAGATAGAGAGAATGTGACGATATGACGTCACTATGCAAACGCGTTCTCAACAGCTATTGACGTCAGATATGACATGACCAATTTGAGCATATTCAGCCGGAGGGAATAATGAGTCTGCGAAATGTCAGATCGAAATCGAATGTCCAATTTAGACATGCTGAATCTCTGATGAATTATACCACATTTTGGGTGTACGGATTCTGTTTCATATCATTTATGCTAGGTTTTGGGTGTACGGATCCTGTTTCATATCATTTATGCTAGGTTTTGGGTGTACGGATCCTGTTTCATATCATTTATGCTAGGTTTTGGGTGTACGGATTCTGTTTCATATCATTTATGCTAGGTTTTGGGTGTACGGATCCTGTTTCATATCATTTATGCTAGGTTTTGGGTGTACGGATCCTGTTTCATATCATTTATGCTAGGTTTTGGGTGTACGGATCCTGTTTCATATCATTTATGCTAGGTTTTGGGTGTACGGATCCTGTTTCATATCATTTATGCTAGGTTTTGGGTGTACGGATCCTGTTTCATATCATTTATGCTAGGTTTTGGGTGTACGGATTCTCTGTCATGTCATTGAATATGCCCATATTTGGTACGCCAAACCTTGGTTAAGTGTGAATTATGCCACAATTTGGGTGCACAAAGTCTCTGAAATGGCATATAGAATATGCCACATTTTTTGTACACCACGTCCGTGTTATGCGTGAGGGATTATGTCCCACTGGGGTAAACGGATTCTCTTTTATTTGAATATTCCCCATTTGAATACACTGTGTCCCTGTTACGTCAGCTGCAGTGGGTTGGGTTACGCTTTCTGCAGTCGGTGTAACCAGGGAGAGATTTGTTACAATGTTTATGTTGTCGGCTTTAAACAGAACATTGCACCTTCGGATGAGGAGTCCTCTGTAGTAATTGACAAGAGTTTACAAATACATGTTATATCTCTTCTGAACAACATCTTAATTACTTTTAATTCTCTTTGAACGAAATTACTGAATTAAGAATTAATGGGTCCCCCGTTGATTATTTTGGAGAACAAAGGCGTATGCTAACATTGAGAAAAAAATCAATAAAATATCCTCGCACGAAGCAATGGCTTCCGCTGGACGTTTATCTCCTGGGGGTACAGCAGCAAACATCCCAAATCGTTGTTGCAACTCGAATGAACATGAGCCCGTTTATCATTTGTTTTTTTAAGGAATGAGTTCTCGTGGTCAATTCTGAGGGAGACGACCACCTCTTGATAACGAGTTTGAGAACGAAGTGACAACACTGCCGTTATGGAGGTCCCTCTGTAGGGAGTGGTGCCTGGCCCTTGCGCAGCAATACAATACATATGCAATGGCTCCTCGTCCATTTCCTTTATAATTTGATTACGAGTTGCAGCGAAAGGAAAACATTAGTCTGTCAAACCAAGAATTTCTACCTAACGGACAACAATTATTCACGGTGAAACTTTGAATCAAAATTTCTAATTCTACTATCGCGTGTTAAAGGAACATATACCCCACACGTTACGTGTTAAGTGAGAATATATACCAGGAACTGCATGAACAGTGAATGTTCACCAGTCCTGTGTTATACAGTGTGTCGTATCCCAGCTATATATATGTGCTATGAAGATACATAGTTTCATATACATGACATGTTATAACATGTGCACGTATCCACCTGGCATTCAGTGTATATATATAGGTAGATACTTGCACGTTATAACATGTTATGTACATGAAACTATGTATCTTCATGTAACGTACAGCATACGATACAATACTACCGTATGTGTGCTATTTGAATATTAACACTAGGCTGTAGATGATGGCGAAGAAGATGATGATGATGATGATGATGATGATGATGATGATGATGATGATGATGATGATGACGATGCAATGATGATGACGATGCAATGATGGTGATGATGGTGCTCATTCTATTTCATTTTACTTATATTATCAAAATTCATCCGAATAATTGTCGGAATATTTTCCCCGAACACGTCCTTAAAACGTTTGGAACTGATTCAAATGGGAAAGAACGACTAATATTCTGAACAGTGCTGCGAATACTTAAACGAAATTGATGCAAGGAAGCACTTTTTAACGATAACGATCCATGCTAAGTTGGTGCGTATGTATTCGTAGATGTGTTGTCCCCATTCTCTCCAGGCTTCCATTTTATGACATTAAGATCAAATGCCACAGAAGAAATAGCACTCTGCGGTACTGACGTCATCATCTGCGGTTACATCTGCCAAAATTACAGTAAATTACTATCCCTGCAGTGGATCATTTTTCTTTAATAGTGAAATGGTTTGGGACCTAAGCGTGATCTATTATGGTTCATGCAATGTAATTACAATATACAGTGTTGCTGAACTTATGACAATCAATATATACTGATGCACATAAATAACGGAACTCGATTAAAGTAGGCATAACTGTGCATGTATTGTAATCTCTCTAAGTGGTATTTTGAAAGCTGTGGTATCGGTACAGATTGGATTAATCTACGGATTTCAACTTATATTATTCATTTAATGCGATGTTACGGTACAAGTAGTTCTATCACCCACAGGAGGCTCCTGAAACTGTGCCAAACGTTGCATCGACGTCTATAAGTTACCCCTGTGTTCAGTATTTGTATTTACAGGTACATTTCAATACCAGTGTGTATTTATAGGATGTGTTGCTATGTAAAAGTAGTAATGTATTTTGTATAGGTTTCTAACTGATATGTACAGCTATCGCCCAGTCTCGTAGAACCGCTGTATTTTTATGGTAAAAATGATTCATTTTTTCTGCAGCCCAGATTGACATCCACCCATCAGATGAGGATAGACTCATCAAGATCCTTCTGTCTCGATATAAGCGCCGAGGAAAATACGGGCGACCGGTGAAACACTTCAATGACACCGTCAAAATTTCCTTCAACATCCAACTTATACAAATTATGGACCTTGATGAGAGAAATCAAGTGCTTACGCTCAACGTCTGGGATAGATACGTGAGTACCACTTATCCTTGTTTAGCATCTGTGTGTTGTACTTTTATATACATACCCATGTGTTCTAACTGTTTAGTAGCTACGTTTGTGCCATTACTATCAACATTTATATACGTACACTTAATCCTGAGAGATTCTTGGGCTTCGGCCCTGCCCCATCCTGAAGCACATGTAGCAGATGTGGTGTCTCCTTGGGCAAATGTCTTTCAAAATGTGCCTCTGTTCAACCGGCACTGAAAATGGGTACCCGATGGGATGAAATGGAAATGAAACTTTTAACCTTCTAGCGCCTAACAAGGAAGTTGGGTGTATACTCCGTAGGGAGCTGAGAATGAAAATCGAGTGCACTGATCCAGTGACTGGAGTAATAATGTAAGCGCTTTGTGTGCATGGAGGCTAGCGCACTATAAGTACCCTATATAATAATTATTTTATATTCAGATTGAAAAAAAATAAATACAGCAAAAGGGGTTTGGGTGATCCTGACACAGTCAGGGTGGTTAGGCTCGTCATCAGCTCAGGGCCCTTGCTTCCTGTACACGCAGCCCAGACAGCGAATGGGACTTCTCCCAGGGAGCGCTGTCTCGTCGAACCCATTCAGAACTTTTCTGAGAATGTGAAAATGACCAAGATTGTCAGAAGGGCTGTATTTGTGGCAGCAAACCCGGGTACTCTCCCAATGTCAGACAACAAAGGTATTAAAGAACCAAGAACAATGGGGAGTCGGATAACTTGGTACTTGAGATGCGAGCGTGACATTTCGAAAGTGAGGTCAGCATATTCGCCATGTTTTTCCTTAATCTTGTTAGTCACATTAGTGTCAAAAGGGACAGAAAATTCAATAATATGAATGATTTCATTGCATTTATAAAAAAAGGCCAAGATCAGGTTTGTTGGCCTGGATACGTCTGAGGCTGTATACGAGCATATTTCAAAGAAGTTCATATTTATCATTTTCCCTCTACATATTCTGGATCGACCTCTGTGTCAAAACCACAAGCACGGCGAGAAGGTAATAAAAGGATCGAGCAACGCCATTATGTCGCTTAAGATACTGTGTTTGTGCCAAAGCAGGGCATCCACTGACAAATTTGTTCCCAATGCTTATTCATTAACTTGCCATTTATTCGTAGTACTGCTGGCCGTCCTGTTGATTTCGCACACTCAAGTTGTGTTTAGTTGAGTTGGTACGTCCCAAATATTCTTGGATGGGTTCTGTGCCCCCCCCCTGGGGCAAGTCCTGTCTCCAGTGTTGTTAGTTTGTATACCGGAGAGAGGCTGACTGGGCTGCGGAGTTAAAAGATGACTGTAACCCAGTATTGAACCAGTTTCGGGGAGGGGTAGGGGGTATGGGATAGGGGGGTTACATGTTTAGTAGCTACCTTTGTGTTATAACGTGCAACAGTTATTTACGTATCATGTTATTACCATTAACAGTTATATACTGTCCTGTAGAACGGTTAATAATGTACCTTTTTGTTACGTACGATCATTTTTTTCAGTAAAACCAAAAACATACGTACCCTTGTGTTTTGACAATAAACACTTACAAGACTCATGTTTCAAGCATAAACAAGCGCATACATACCACCATGTTTTCATTTTAAACAAATACATGCGTATCCTTGTGTTTCATCTATATTCTTTCCTCTTGTTTTTTTTCATACGTGGCCTTGGGATTCAACAATATGATGTTATTGCTAGACCAATATGAATACCCTGGGTTAAAACAGTAAACAGTTACATGACTCACGCGTTGTCAACTAGAAACAATTAAGCGAGAATCCTCCATGTTATAGCTACCCATTGAATGATGAAGTGATTAAGCGGTGAACATGTACATTTAGTGGAGCCCATTCTTCGTGTACGTCGTCATATTAAAGATATTATCAGCCACTCATTCACGTAATATTGTTAGTTCACGAACCGGGATGAGCTTTAGTCATTACGGGATCCTCGTAGTCTTCATCTCCCGCCCGACTTGCCTCGCTGACACTTTGCATTGATGGTCATATTCATGGCTTTCGCCAGTCACTTCAAATCGTCTCCATCGGACGTTACACGGCTCTGAATAGCTAAACTCGTGAAGGTGTTAGTGTTTGTGAAATATGAAGAAACCGTTATTGGCGAAGCTTGTGCATGAAACAGGCCAGAGGATTCTATTCAAAATAATTTGACAAGTCAATTACAAGGAGCTAGTTTGAACAAGCTTCCTAACACGTTGTATATTAAGTAAGGAAAAGAATATTAATTCACCAAGTTGTTATACAGATACGGTTTCTTTCTTCAATGTGCAAACTGTGTTTAAGGATAATTTAGAGAAGGAGATAGAACGTGGGAGGTTGAATGACAGTGAAGAGACGTAGGACACGCGAGAAGCTGGAAAGATGTGAGGTGAAATGGAGTTTAACGTCCAAAATTATTGCACTTTTATAGCGACGTGCATGCACGTGTGTGTCTGTGTGGCTGTTAGAACTAGTTCGGACTGATGCCGATTTATAGTGCTAGCCCACTGAGATACCATGCCACAGTTTTACATGAATACCCCACTCAGACACAGTATACTGACTCCGAGCCGACCAGTCCTTGTTTTAGCCCCTTAATGTCGAGCGCCAGACAGGGTAACAACAAGTATCATCTTTTAACGTCCTTTGGTATGACGCGGCTTGGTGTCGAGACCCGGATCTTCTGCTCTCCGGGCGGACACTCTACCACAAGACCAAGGAGGCGGTCAGCTGGAAAGAAGGGGAGGAGAGAAAGGTAACAGAGAAGATAAGGACAGAGGAAGAGTAAGGGAGGGTGAAGACAGGAAAGAGAAGTACGACACGCGAGAAGCTGGAAAAATGATTGAATATTATTTTACGCCGCATCAGCAATTTTCCAGCTATACAAGAGAAAAGTTACCGCGAAGATGAGGACAGAGGAAGAGTAGAGCGAAAGTAATAGGAACGAGTCGGTGGGGTAGAAAACCCTGTTATAACACGACGTTCAGCTCAATTTGGGAGGCAAATCCGAGTTCAAGTTGGTTGTAGTTGTTTACCGCCTCAGGGAAACCGACGAGCATGGCTACGATACTAACAAACCAAGGATCGTTATCAGGGTGTTCTGTGATCTATCAGAGAATCCCTGCACGGATGAGGGAGGCAACTCTGTAGAAAAAAATCGGAGTTGACGCTGGTCGTAGACATTTACCGCCTGAGGAAACCGACGAGCATGGATACAATACTGACAAATCAAGGCTCATAACCAGGGTATATCTGTAATGCGAACCCATAATCAGAGGATCCCTGCACGGATGAGGGAGGCAACTCTGTAGAAAAAAATCCGAGTTGACGCTGGTCGTAGACTTTTACCGTTTTAGGAAACCGACGAGCATGGATACAATACTGACAAATCAAGGCTCATAACCAGGGTATATCTGTGATGCGAGCCCATAATTAGAGGATCCCTGCACGGATGAGGGAGGCAACTCAAATTACGAGGGCTAAGACCACAGTCCGAATGTTGTTTGAATATAGGGTGGACATAAGAAGATGAGAAGTAGAAGGTCTACGAGAGACACGAGAAGGATGAGTAGGACGTGCAAACATAATAACACGAGGAAACACCCTTAAATGGATGCCTAGAAAAGGGCCAATGACAGTGTGTACGTAGAGGTATGGGGTGTAGAGAAGGGGGAGTTCACACTCAACACTAAGCCTTCTGAAGAAGCTTCTCTAGCAGTTCAATGAGTGAGTGAGTGAGTGAGTTGGGCTTAATGACGTTTTAACAGTTATTCTTCAGCTCAGTGTAGAAGGAAACTCGAGCCGATGCAGGTCGTAACTTTGGCGAACCCAATGACCACGGACATGGTGCTAACAAATCAATGACCAAACGGTACGGACCTGGGATATGAACAAACTTACTGCGGATCGTGGGACGACAAACGGATAAATCTTTGAGTAGCGAATTCCTACGCGGCCCGTGCCACCATAGTTTCATGAAACACTGGCAAGTACCAACAGATTAGCAAGTCTGGAAGTAAGCTGAAAGTAAAGTAAAAGAAAATTAAGCGAAACCTTCCAACTTTCGGCATCACCTGGCTCGGCGTATTTCAGTACTGCGAAAAAGGAACGTGGTAAAATGGCGTACCAGTGCATTTCGATATATCGCACATACAATCGTTTACAAATATGGGCATACGATTTGCGGTGGAGACAATATATGCTGAACCTATCAATCGCATGTGTTTGTTTATATACTTCTACACAAAACGTCAGGGAATGGAGTAGATTTTACACGTTTTGTAATCCAACATCGTTGCCATTCCTTCATCTATGCTTGGTTATTTACTTATACACGAAGGTGTACAGTTAAAATGGTATTTCTGTGAAAAAATGGTTTTGGAATACATTAAGTATTATGCGACCCGTAAAGATTCGGGTCTTCAGCAACCCATTCTTGCCGTAAAAGGCAACTATGCTTGTCAAAACAGACGACTAACGGGATCGGGTGGTCAGGCTCGCTGACTTGGTTGATGAAAGTCATCGTATCCCAATTGCGTGGATTGATGTTAACGATGTCAGTCACTGGATTGTCTGATTCAGACTCGATTATTTACAAACTGCCTTCATAAAGCTGGAATATTGCTGAGTGCGGCGTAAACAACAAATAAACAAAAAACAAAAATTAAGTATTTTGTACATGCGGAGCCTTACTTCATTCATACTTTGTTTCTTCCTTTCAGAATTGGTATGACGAGTATTTGAAATGGATTCCTTCGGAATGGGGAGGCGTGAACAAAGTGAGGATACCGCCCAGTAAAATTTGGACCCCCGACATTCGACTGTATAACTAGTAGGTGTATATGATTTTATATTACAGCGGCAATTACTGACTCAAAGAGCGACATTACTGAGTGGAATACACATATAATAATATGAATAATGGTTAACCAAATAAACATCCCTTGGTACGAAATATATGTTCAGACAAAGCATTTATGGTTTGACAAATTGTATTATAGCTCAGCTGGTAGATCAGCTGATCTATTGTGATGACCCTGTGTTCGTTGCCCCTAAGAATGGACCATTGAAATTTGAACGGCTCCGTTACTGAGCCAGTTATGCAATGTTTGGGTGATAAGGTAAAAGTGCGTTTTCGTTACTGTATTTGTTTATTTACCCCGTTTTATCTTTTAATTGTGATTGCAAGCATCAAGGATATCGCCTGATTTAAATTTCAATGAGGATGCTGCAACGAACCATGTCCGCCATCATGCTGAGACCCCCATTTTAAACCCTTTTGGTATTTGAGAAGCGATATTTTCGTGCATATGAAATCTGAATTTGGTTGTTGATCCAATTTGAGCTTTAAAGCCTGCCTACTTCAGTGTAATTTGAAATCAAAGCGTTAAATCCTCTGGGTATTCATACTCTAATGAACAGAAACGGAATCCAAAAACAATGAAAACAAATGCCCTGAAACCTAAAAAACCATTTCCTCCAGATGTTCGCAGGACGATACACCATGCCTTGACGTCATGCGCGAAGGTCAAGGTTATATACAGCATGCCCTTGAAGAAATTATTGTTCATGAAACAGTGTCTTACAATTGTTTTAACGAGGACGACAATCCTGTGTCAAGTGTTTAGGTTACATCGTCGGAAAACGGAACTGTCAGTTATATACACAATTACATAAGCTACAAGACAGGTGTGTCACTGACACAGAGATGGTTGCTATGGTCTGTACCCAAGACCTAGAAAATAAATTAAATATCCCAACTCAAGTCTAGAATTATTTGGCAAGTCTAGTTTGCTTCAGGTCTGATCATTGTTCTGATCTCCTTTTGGATTATACTTTGTAGATATATATTTTTTAATAAGATAATTTTATTTCTGGGACTAAATGGCAGTTTACGTCACGGTGAAACGCTGATTGACATGCTAATAACGGTACTAATCATATTTATTTTCCAAATTAAACCCAAAGAGAACTTGTAATCAAGAACAACTTAGGTTCCAAAATACGCAGGTAACGAACTTCCTTCACCTGCATGTTGTCAATATATAATGCATTTAAGTGCTATTGTGTGAAGTATTTCTTTACGTTATCTCACGTCTAATCAGAAGATACGTTAATCAATCAACGGTATAATTTGATAATTGGAGGGATAGATTAATTTGTTTAGTTTCTGCTTCGAGTCAAGCTAATCAGATTACTGATAAAAAGTGAAGAACATGAGTAATTTGAATACTACAGCGTATCTGTGCTGCTGAAAAAACTCTACACTGCGGCAATAACTACGTGTTATGTGTTTGAAACAGAATTCTGCCCCTGAACTATGTGTGTTCAGATTATGGGATGTGTAAGGCCAGCTGAGGGAAATTCCTACAGGGATTCTAATGTTACTATCACATGTGTATTTATTGAGTAAGATGGTAAGGTATTACGTTGTTTTTTGAAATATGAAACTAATATGACAGCGAATGGGCATTGTATATTGATTTAGGTGGGAAAAGAACCCATGGCTTCTACCTTTCGAACGAACGCTTTAACCAAGAGCCTACCTCGACTCCAAGTCACTGCATATCGCCCTATTCTTACATATTCTCAAGTGAACTTACGCTTTGTTGACGTTCAGTGTCCATTGTTGTTTGCTTAAATATGACGGATTATGTAATTTAAACAGATGGATTACACATAAACGTTGCATCGATATTTACTATTAATGATTGTCTATTCGGATTATCGTCACATATTTACCTACTGATCTACGTACAGCAACAAATCGCTCAAAATACACGTGCATATTGACCATCATACACCTATATATTGACCACCAAACACCTAAATTTTAATCATAATACACCTGCATTTTGACCATGATACACCTGTATAATTATCATCGTACACCCGTATAATTATCATCATACACCTGTATAATTATCATCAGACACCCGTATAATTATCATCATACACCCGTATAATTATCATCATACACCTGTATAATTATCATCATACACCTGTATAATTATCATCATACACCTGTATAATTATCATCATACACCCGTTTAATTACCATCATACACCCGTATAATTATCACCATACACCGATATATTTATCATCATACATCTGTATAATTATCATCATACACCCGTATAATTATCATCATACACCCGTATAATTATCATCATACACCCGTATAATAACCATCATACACCTGTATAATTATCATCATACACCCGTTTAATTATCATCATACACCCGTATAATTATCATCATGCATCTGTATAATTATCATTATACACCTGTATAATTATCATCATACATCTGTATAATTATCATCATACATCTGTATAATTATCATCATACATCTGTATAATTACCATCATACACCTGTATAATTATCATCAAACACCCGTAAAATTATCATCATACACCCGTATAATTATCATCATACATCTGTATAATTATCATCATACATCCTATCATTCACCTGCATACTTGCCATCTTATTGAAGCTCATGCACGTGACCCACTTAATGATTATCGAAAACGTCCTACTTGATCGTGACATACCGTATACTAATCATGATGCAACCTGTATTCATAATGACACATTCAGTATTGATAACGACACACCAACGTGATGATAATGATACGCCCCTGTATTCACCATGATATACCCTACAGTGATCACATGCACCTTTTTCTTCACACCTCACAATAATTGCCATACACACTATCATTGATTATTAATCTCGTAATGTGTCATATTTAGTCCAGTTGCATGTCGCCAACAAAGCTCAAGTTCAATTCAGTAATACCCTCGTCTCAAAACGATTTGGCAGCTCTAAACGAACATATAATTAAATATATGTCTACAGCTTACTTTTTTGGATTGGGGGCGGTGGGGAAGCCGAATGGTTAAAGCGTTCGCTCGTCACGCCAAAGACCGGGGTTCGATGCTCCAGATGGTGAAAATGTATAAAGCCGATTTCTGGTGTCCCCCGCCGTGATATTGCTCGAATATTACTAATATGGGCATAAAACCATTTCGCTTACTCATTGTTTTGATTGCGGGTGGCCCTTTTTACGTTTCCGATGTGTTGTTTGTCACTGACCACGGATACATAGATGCAACTAATACACATCAACCTGAGATGACTTTATTAAATGATATCCTAGGTTGATCGTAATTAACAGTAAATGGGAGGCAGGTCACTTACATTCTGGGGAACACTAATAAAAACCGAATATCCTAGAATAAAGGCCTGCCTTTGTAACACGTTGGGCCAACAAACATCCACCCAAAAATAAACGCCTGCTCTGAATTTATGTAAGACGATGCCTCGAATACAGGAACAATGCAATTACGTAATGGTGTATTTTCAAAATGTTTTTCTTTTAATGTTATGGCTGAATGGAATGAGGTACATTTATCTCTTGTTTTTATATGTTTTGGTCTGTTACCTTAAAGCTTCAACACTCTCATCTCCGAGAAAAATAAACGCATGCGTCGAATCGTGTTTTGTGTTTGGACCTTCCGAAAAGTACACCTTTGAGTTTTATTTAAGGATTTACGGTAATGCTATTGTCCTTCAACTTGATGTATAACCCACTAAAAGACATTCTGCTCTGCTTCAGTGCTGACGAGAGGCTGGAGGAACACAGGGACGCCTTGTGCCAAATAGAAAGTACCGGCCTCATTATATGGTTGCCTCAAGCAGTGTATAAAAGCTCGTGTGAAATTGATGTATCAGCATTTCCGTTTGATATACAGAATTGCCATTTAAAGTTTGGTTCGTGGACGTATGATCAATCTAAAGTGGATCTAGAACTTGTGGGTAACACGGAGGAGATAGACCTGAGCGAATATGTGGTGTCTAATGCGTGGAACATACTGTCAGCTCCGGCCAAGAGGAACGAGGTGTCCTACTCGTGTTGTCCAGAGCAATACGTCGACCTGACCTTCCGACTCATCTTCCAGCGTCGCTCTGTACTGTACAACTATATTCTCATTCTACCATGTATCCTGCTCACCTCGCTCACACTCGTGCTCTTCTGGATCCCACCCGAATCTCCAGCCAAGCTAATGTTGGGTAGGTACCACCACATTGTTCGCAGGGGAGTCTATGTATGTCATGTTGGATGGGTACTTGAAAGCAGTGTGTGCCTTGTGTGCTTGGAAACTTGTCAACATTGTATATCTAATGTTCAGTTGATGATATGGTGCAGTGCATGTTGGGTGGTACTTGTGCATAGTGTTTTGTTATGTTAGTTTGGGACAGTGTATTGTAAAGCTAGGTCGGTACTTCTGTCGAGTGAGGATCTTAAGTACTGGTTCCTGATCACCATACGTATCTCATGCAGGATAGGTAGTATGTGTGTTCAGGGCGCATCTCATGATGGGAGAGTTCATGTCCATGGGGCGCATCTTATGATGGTAGATTTCATGTGTACAGGGCGCATCTGATTATGGTAGAGTTCATGCGTACAGGGCATATCTCATAATGGTAGAGTTCATGTGCACAGGGCACATCTCATAATGGTAGAGTTCATGTGTACAGGGCATATCTCATAATGGTAGAGTTCATGTGCACAGGGCACATCTCATAATGGAAGAGTTCATGTGTACAGGGCATATCTCATAATGGTAGAGTTCATGTGTGCAGGACGCATCTTATGATGGTAGGGTTCATGTGCACAGGGAGTATATCATGATGGTAGAGTTCATGTGTGCAGGGCGCATCTTATGATGGTAGAGATCATGTGCACAGGGCACATCTCATGATGGTAGGGTTCATGTGCACAGGGAGTATATCATGATGGTAGAGTTCATGTGTGCAGGGCACATCTTATGATGGTAGAGGTCATATGTGCAGTGCGCATCTTATGATTGTAGAGATCATGTGCACAGGGCGCATTTCATGACGGTAGAGTTCATGTGTACAGGGCACATCTTATGCTGAAAGGTTTCATGTGTACAGGGCACATCACTTGATGGTAGAGTTCATGTATACATATGAGGTTTCATGTGCACAAGGCGTATTTGTTGAAGCGTATCTCATATTGTGTAAGTTCATATTTACAATGTGTTTCATATGCATCAAATGTGGTCACCTGATCTGGTCCAGTCTGAACGTAAACCGATTTTAATTTAATGCCTTTTATTTTTATTCATATCGTTAAAATAACTTCACCTAAATATTTGCAAATTATCAATCTATTGCAAATGTATATTTCATCTGACTGGCAGAGGTCGAAATACCGATCCATATCAGAGCTAGATGTGTGACATGTCCTGAAGCGTGCACATTGTGTGGCGTTTCAAATGTCATACATATTGATGAAGTGCTAATTTATTTGAACATTGGATTTGAAATAAATCTAATTGAGTATTTCCCAACCAGCCCGGACTTGCTTAAATTGTTGATCATGTTGCTGTTTGATCGGTTACCAGCAATGTGCTTACTGAGTAAAAAATAGCCCTATTCAAAATAATAGTTCACCTGGACAGAAGGCGCATATGAACTCTCCGTTCTACTTTCTTTGGTGAGAAGGTTTTACATTTTTAACCTACTCTTTGAAACCTTAGGGCTGTTACAAATGAAACTGAAAGTACAATGATAGCAGTGATACGAATTATGATTAACCATATACATGATTGTATAATTATGTAAGGATATGGTAGTATGAAGGTCCTTTTAAGCTATCTACAAATGTGAATAATATTTAAAATTAGAGATATGAAATTATCAGATATGTCAAAATTGCTGACAAATATCCAGTTTTCTTTCGTACACCTGCACGATTTGGACTTTTGGCATGGTCAAATACACGAATGTTGCTAAAATGAGGGAAAAAGGCAGATTTCAAATGAAAATTCAAGTATCACCAAGTACGAGACCCATGAGGAATTTGTGCCATATGCCATGTTTTATGTATCATCTGCTGTGAAAAATCAGATTGAGTCAAAGAATTACTCCCCGATGTTCAAATATGAGAGAAATATCATGTTCATGAAAAATCAGCCGGCCTTCCTGAGCATGTTATGTTGTCATGAGTCCCAACCACGGAAAATGGTGAAATGAACAGAGTCTTGGTTTCTGTCATACGAACATATCGGATAGCTTTCATAATTATCAAAATATGGCCACTAGTCTACCTTGATGTTTGTTAATCTGTCAATAGTTTATATACTTTTCTGCACATTGGATTCAGGTCTTATTAAAGTAAATTATTTATCCTTATGGTATATTGACAAGTCGTTGTCTGTTATTAATGTGTGAACAAAAACGTCATTTGAAACTAAAGCAAATTGGCAGCGATGTTTAAAAATGCGCACTCCAAATCAATACATAATTATGACGCGATCTGAAACTTTGCATATTCAGATGTTAACCTGACTGGAACCGGATATGATAGTGATAATGTACATGTTTACACTCCTAGAGGCATCTGTTCTTCTTGATTGATGACATCACTCCTACGTGTCATGTTTATATACGTACTACAGTCACTATGTGTTGTGTATTTGTTAACACCATGCTGACCATACCATCCCTACGTGTCTGATAACGAATGTGTTAACGGATTACCCCCCTAGAGGTAGTGGTGATGTTTGTGAGCCGGTGTGGTGTTTCGCTGCTTTTAGCAATACTCCAACACTATCAGCAGGAACGGCTGCACATATTGTATATATCTTGGGAATTGAACCCGGGCCTCCGACGTGTCGAGTGAAGGCTTTTAATTGTTACCAATAGGCTGCCCTTTCGTTCCTAAAATATATTATATAAATGTGTGTATACAGCTGCTGTTCGTGATTTATTTAACTGAACAGCTTGAATTACCATTTTACATGGACACTGACGTGTACACATATGAATGCATACAATTCATCATAAATACTAAACAACATACATTCTATTGAATATCTATTTAGTATAATTGCGAGCTCAATATATGTGTATATTCTGGAGACGTTAATTCGAGCATACAGCTACACAGGATATGCAGAGACTGAAGAATATTTCAATACATCACATGCAGCCCTTTTCGACACCTTATACACCACTTGCAGCCATATAAAATATGATTGTACACGACATACAGATATGTAAGAATCTGGTTATGCGCCAAATGTTGTTATATTATATGATACATTTATATACCGCAGGTATCCAGGAACTAGTATCTGCTCAAATGCGGTTTTTATTTGTTCCCCGACCAGTGGGTCAGTTTGCATTCCAGTTACCATTGTCAGCTCCCTGGGGAATATACAACCCCAGCTGCCAAGGGGCGCTGAAAGGTTTTTACATCCACCTCACATATCGGGTCCTGCTGGGGAAACCGGAGACTTGCCCTTGGTGACACCACACGTTTTGACACGAAGTTCCAACTTCTAAATGGCTATCAAAGGCATAAAGTCAGAGGGGAAAATAGGGAAAACGTCTCAGAAGTTTACCTTTCTGATATCTTTGAAACTTACGAGCAAGGGTATGGTGGTGACAACCGAGACTCGAACCCACAATCATAGGATTCTGTCACGCGAAAACGATTTGCGGCGACTTAGACGACTGGGCCACTCGTGAACCCAGAACAATCCTGCAGAGTGTACTCCATGGCCTATTCACCGTATTCTAAAATCAGCCGTCTATAACATCCTAATGGTCCCGGAGGGTACATAATGTAATAATGTCTGCATATGTTAATGGGCAGGAGTTTTCAAATAACCTGCTCTTGTAAAAGCTCTTCACAGAAAATAGATGCGTGACCGAAAGAATATCCTTTCCCTTACAACATTTCTCAATCCCGGAATATTAAATGAAGGGGTCCCTAGCACCCACTGACGTCAACACCAACTCCCACATCTCCCACATCCACTCAACACCATCTCCCACATCCACTCACTCATCCCACGCGCTGCTGCACAAACCCCCCGGCTCCATCCGTGACACTCCCTTCAACAGACATACGCTGCACCCACTTTGATTCAATTCATCCAAGGTGAATGCCGGAGCAACAGAGTTTAAATGAACCATGGTGGCATATAAATGAAATATAATAATGATGATATACACACGTGCATGTGGTTTACTCCCGTAATATGTATTCATTTATACTTAAACTTTGATTACATAATTAGATTAATAAGATTACCGGTTATCAAACACGCATTTCAAAGAGTCTTAATTGAGTAATAAATGAGCCCCGGGACCTAACATACGTTGTTAATGGCTAATGATGTTGTGGCGTGGTATTGCATGAAATAGTTTGCTTAAATAAGATTTGAAAAGATTGATATGATAATGATGGAAATATTGTCAGGCTTGCTACTTTATGATTCTGTTGCCGTCCAAAGGTTTTATAGAAAATATAAAACGTCAACGCCAGAGAATAACCAGTCTCGATTAACCGCAGAAGCAGATTCCATTGGGCGTAAAAGGTAAAATAACGGTGGAAATCATTTGAATGACACCAAGTGTTTGCGAAAAGGATAAGCATGGCCTGCCCAACGTTAGCACCGGTCGATAAGCATTAATACTTTTTTGGTTGTTCCCTGACGCCGCACAGCCGTACTCCTACCAATGGACGCAGCCTGTAAACAAACCAGACAATCCTGTGATGGAGGTCTAAACCAGTGGCACAAAATTTAATTCAACTCCATTTCAAAATTCAAACTTTACAAAGCTTTATACGAACCATATATTCAAATTAATAAATATTTGTGCACATCATTTTGGAAATGGTGTCTTCGAAATGTATATCTGGGTATTTAAACAAGTTAAAACTGCATATACACTATGCAGTAAACCTTATTTGAAAAAATTCAAATATTGAATTGGAAAGATAGTGATAAAAATACCTTAAAAACACATTACAGAAGTAAATTCTTAACAGGGTATGTGTTAAGACAATGTCAGGAATTCGTAAAGAGTAATGACAGTTAGCATCTTTAGAGTTTCTATTGTTTGACTGTCTCTATGTCGCCAATCTTTCCTCGTTATAATGTATTACTTGTAAGAGGAATTATCTACTTATTGCTGACGGTATTGAGGACATTTCTTTGCACATGATTCACCTGTAGTCCTTATTACGT